TGGACGTCACAATAATCTACACATTTTTCCAAAACTTTTATCTCGTGATTTGATTATGATCATATCAAATGCAGCTATTAATGGGAACGTTGTTCTTTGAAAGTCGAATGTATGTATAGTGTCAGAAAATGTTAAATTAATTCTTGGAATTAAAATTCTGTAATTTAAAGTAGCCCCTGTTAATACTTCAGTCTCATTCCTGTTCCATTAACTAATGCTTGTGCAGTATTTAAGTTAACAATGAGTATAACTATAGAATATATTTTTAAATTTAATTTATTAGGTATCATTCCACTAACATTACATATCATCTTTTCAAATAATAGACTCAATTACCTCAGTAAATGAAAAGTTTTCGATTTATCAAACAACAAATAAAAGAAATCGAATTTGGAAGGGAAAGGAAACGTACTAATGTTTAAAATGATATATTTCTGCAACAAATAGTCCGATTTCGCTTATTTTTTTTATCATTTTGCAGGAAATCAAGACAGCTTTCAAATAAATATTGGTATTATCTGTGAACAAATGTGTACTTTCTGAGTTATTCGCAAATAAAATACTGAATTCATCATAAAAATGTATGCAGCTTGTTTTCGGGAAAGTATGTTATATACATAAATTATAAAGTTTTCAAGGGGAAGACTTTAGCCAAGTTTCATTGAAATCGTTGAAGCCGTATTGGCGCTACATTCTAAAGCGAACCACGTTTTTTGGCCGCCATTTCGAAAGGAAAGGCCCGATGATAATGAAACGTATACAAAAAAACTTCTAAATATTATTGGGACGTTGTGTCAAAATTTAAAAGAAATCGGGGAAGACTTTTTGAGATAAGCCGTTTTGAACAAACTACCATTTATATTTTTATTCACATACTATTTAATATTTTTATTTATTGATAACACTAAAGCTCGTCAATATCTATTAAACAAAAACAAAAGGAAAAAAATCGGTTGAATAATAGAGGAGTAAAAGGGGCTGAACCGATTTGTGTTTGCCTGTTTATATAATGATGTAATATCGGATCTTGAATTATTAAACTACAGTAAATGTATTTAAGGTTATAAACATATGCTTTATAAATCCATGAAATAATTTTATACTTTACTTCTTTTACACAAGTATATGAAATACTTTTTTAAACAATGTCATTGCCTTGATTAGGTGGATTTTAAATACTTTTTTTCAAACTTAAAAATATTTTAAAATTTTACATTTAGTAAGTGATTTTCATTTAATTTCTATTTTTTTTTTGGTACTCTCCGTTACCTTCTACAACTTGCTATATTAGATGTTGTTTTTTTCTAAAATTGTCCGCTTTCCAACGGTATGTTCTATGTATGCCTTCTGACCTGTATTTCCGGAGATTCATTTTTGACCTGGATAAGCATTTTTATTTTTTTTTCTCCTTTATGAACTTATCATATTCTTTCAAAAGTTATATTTAGCATTTTTTCGTATTTCTGAATAGTGTGAAATGATTAACTTTTTGATATAAACCATATTAAAGGTTTATTATTATTAGGTTTATCCTCTAAAGTTAGAGGAAGACGCATATGAACATTGGGCATTTAAGCCCTGTAAAGTTACATCAACAGGGATGAGACATAAATGATATTAAAGACCACTTAATTATAATTATAAACTTACAATTATGATTATAACTTAATTATTGTCTAAACTTACAATAATAAACCGAGTTTAATCAAAATCGTTAGAACCGTTTTTGGGGAAATTGTAAAAATGAGTTTCACCGTTGATATAAAGTGGTACTTCCCGTTAGCCGATTTTAAGGAAAAAGTTACTGTCACATCTAAGGTATATACCTATCTTAAATACATAATATCAGTTTCGTACTTTTCGTCTTTGAGCTAGACTGTTAACATACACACACACTGACACACAAACTATTTTTCGGGACTTGGTTATTTGGACTCAGGGCACCCCAAAACGTGTATTTTCGTTAAAAACTAAGATTCAAAATTTTTCACAATCACAAAACTTACACTTACTATATATTTCATATATAGGCAAGTGAAAGTAAAAATCGATTCAATGACAAAAAAATGCTTAAAAAATAAACAAAGCAAAAAAGTAAATACCCCAGGAGAGTTGAATGTGAAGAAGACAAATAAATAAAATTAAATGTAACTCTTGAAATTCGTGTTTAAATGAGCATAGGTAAAAATCTTTTGCCAAGTAAGGTTAGTAGTATAGATTCCTCACAATTTTCGTTGGTTACACAATGGCCTACAGTGGCTTATTAATAATAATAGCTTAATTATTAAGCCACTGTACAATGGCCTATATTGCAAGGTCTATAATTTTTCATTTGAAAATAAAATCTTGGGAAGACGTAAAAGCCGGATTATGCCTTTGTGAGTGTGCAACAAAGATCTTCACATAGATTTCGAAATTGTTTACGTCAAATTGTTGACTCGGATCATTATTAATTAAATTACAAAAGCCAAAATAGATTTTCACAAAAATAGTTGCTTCATACGATTGGATTCTGCTCTCTGTGATGAAAGACTGGTAAAATTGTTTATTTAAATAATAACTCAACTAATAAATATTTTACTAATATTAAAACAATCCCCTAAAAAAAATACTCTAACTCCAGTATACTCGACGAAAGTAAACTGTACCAAAATACAACACTCTATAATCAAGGTCATATTTTAGTTTGGTTAATAACTATTAAAGTAAAAATAATTTCTTCACCTTACAGTTATTATCCATCACATGCAAATGTAATCAAATATTATATATTATAATATATATATATTATATATTGTATAAATATAAACAATTATTAATTCAGGACAACGGCGGCAGTCATTGCCGTCAGTTTATTATTGATGCAGACATCTCAAGTATATTCTGGCCATTGCTTATGGAGAAAATAAAAAAAACTTTTTTCTACAAATGATACTTACAAGGGGAAATCAGTGTGAACGAATTATAGTTAGTGGGTCACATATTTCAACCAATTTTTGTCTTTAATACTTCATCGAAAATTATTGCACTCATGTCCCAATTAAACAAGTTCGTTTTTATCAGTCCAACTGGTATGTAGAATTTAAATTAAAGTAAAATTAAAGCTGACAAAATTTGCAACTGAAATGGATATATTCACTTTTTTAGCTGTCTTCAATAGTTCAATAGATTATCTGTTCTCGTAATTCATTAACTTCTAAAAAAATTGTTTTTGCATTGCATTGTTATCATTATTTGAATCGCTAACTCTTTATTTTATTATTTTAAGAAAAATTCATAAGGAAGAAAGTTGTTTACCACTAAATTTTCTTTAAGAATATATTACTTTCGAATATTCGTTTTGTATATATGTATTACTTATTAATTATATAAACCAATGTACGTTTGCTGATAAAAAGATTAATAGCTGTATAATATCGAAAATTACCAAAAATTACGTTTTTCTGCATGGGTTGGGGGTTTAAACATGAAGTTATAGCTTTTGAATGGTTGAAGATAAGATTGTAAATAAAATAAAGTTTAATGTTAAACAACACTTTTCCTTATGATTTTTTTTTTAAATGTAAAGATAAAGAGTTACCAAGTAATGAATAATATGGGAGGCAAAAACAATTTGTTTTCGAAGTTGGTGAATTACGAGGACGGATATCTCAAAAACTATAGAATATAGCGAAAAATAAATATAACCATTTCTATTGAAAACTTTATCTGCTTAATGTTACATGGAACATTATTAAGGTGGAACACATAGGTTCACTGATATGAGCGAAAAACCGATAAAAAATGAACTTTTTGAATCATAAATTCATATTTTCGACTTGAAATAGGATAACTATTATTTCATGTCTTAAGAAAGCAAATACTATCAATTTTAAGGATTGGCAGCTTTCTATATTCTATAGACCCTCTCTCTATATATGTTTTCTAGCCATATAGGGTCTCCATCTTTACCTTGTCGCCATTTTGTATTCCAGCGGCTTTATGTTGGCAGATGTGCATTTTTCTCATTAGGTATGAAAAAGGTGATCTTAGGTACAGTGTTATGTTTGGCCCCAAGAATAATGTTTTTATATTCATTTATTTCCTCAAATACTGGGGTCACTCCGATAGGCCCTTAAAATAATTATTAAGTATTTGTATAGTATAGAGATATGTTCGGCAAAAAAATTATTTTTTTAAATTTTAGCGAATGTCTGTGGCTCCTCCAGTATACTCCAAAAATAATTGTTTTACATTTTGTATAAAATTTAACAGCTTCTTTCAGTTTCACTATATATCATTCCTTTTGTGCAGCTGATTTGCACACCTTTGTACTAGAGATTCTCGCCGTAATCCGAGCAATAATCTACGCAATAATTAGCAGATGGTCTATCTGATTGAATGTGCATCCATCAGGTGATTTCCATGTGTCTCTTTGGATTCGTCGTCCCAGGAGTACTGTGCTTCTTATGATCATGTTTCGAGATACAGCAAAATTTATAACTCTTTTCCCATTATCATTACACTCTTCGTGGCTACTGTAAAGTCTAATGGTTGATATGTATATTTCCTCCTTCCCGATTTTAGCATTAAAATCCCCCAATAAGATCTTTATGTCACTACTATGGCATACATCATAAGATCTTTCTAATGCATGGTAGATATTCTCCTTCTTCTCTCAAAATTTCAGTGTTACAAATGTTTGACATAGGAAAAAATCGAGGAGTTGAAATATTCAAAACAGTTTTAGAAAAGTAAATTTATTTATTAACAACTAAGTACAAAACAATATTTACAGAAAAAAAAATAACAATATAACAATACAATTGGTCTGGTGTACTGAGTATGAATTGACTAAAAGCTGCATTACACCTGCAAAAAAAAGAAAAAAAAAAAGTTGAGAACAGTCTTTGTAATTGTGAAAACAGTAGACTTAAAAAGACAAACATACGAGTTACATTCTATGAAAAAACCATGTTTAATTATTATTGATTATTGAAACTACCTTGAGAGTACATTATTTAATGCCCCAGAGCAGCGTGAGCGGCGGCTTTGTGTGCGAGGAAAGAACTACCCAGGCCTGAGCTTATACCACCTGCATAGAGCCCAGAGCTGAAGCCGCTACCGTAAACTCCAGAACTAACACCACTGCCGTAGAGCCCACCGCTGTACAGTCCTCCGCCGTACAAGCTGGATCCTCCAGAGATGACTCCAGACCCTAATCCGTAGCCAGAGCCTAGACCATAGCCGGAGCCGAGACCATAGCCGGAACCAAGACCGATACTGGAACCAAGGCCAGAGCCTAGCCCAATACCAGATCCAAGGCCAATGCCGGAACCAAGACCAATACCGGAACCAACAGCTAAATTTAAAAAAAACTAATTGGATTATCCCTTAAAATTAGTGTAATCTGATTACGTAAAGGTTATTTCTTACCAATGGGTGCAGTTCCTACGCTGACAGGAATAGGCTGTGGCACAGGGACAGGGACGTTATTGACGACAGGTACTGGAACTGGAGATGGTACTGGAACTGGAACAGGTCTTGGTACTGAAACTGTAACTGGATGTGGAACTGGAACAGGCACTGGTCTATCGACTGTAACTGGATAAGGTCTCTCTACAGCGACTGGGTATGGGCGACTGACTGGAACAGGTACTGGTCTGTCGACTGGAACAGGGACCGGATGGGATACTGGAACAGGGACTGGTCGGTCTACTGGCACACTGACAGGCTGAGGCACTGGGACTCCGACCTGGTGATGAACCGTTACTTGGCGAGAAATGACTCCTCCACCGTATCCAAGTCCAGAACCCAAACCAATTCCTGAACCCAAACCAATTCCAGAACCTAAACCAATGCCTGAACCCAAACCAATTCCAGAACCCAGTCCAACACCAGAACTCAAGCCTATTCCTGAACCAATTCCAGAGAGGCCGATTCCCGATCCATATCCAGCTCCAAGGCCAGATCCGTATCCATATCCACCTCCGTAACCGTAGCTTCCGCCGTATCCATAACTACCACCATAGAGGCCTGATCCTAAACCTATTCCACTACCAAGAACTCCTCGTTTTTCTGGCTGCTTCTTCTGTTCTACTTCTGCCAAAGCAGAAACAACAAAGCCGCAAATGAAGAGTAAATTCTGTAACAATTACATTTGTTTTATTATTTTATATTAATTTTAACAATTATATGTCCATACATAAATATAAAATAAACTTTAAAATACTTCTAGTTTAATTCAACTTACTTTTGTAATTTTTTTTATCTTACCATCAATTTTTATATCATTCGTATATTATTTGTCTGGTTTACTAATTTCATTATATGTATGAATTCTTGAAGTAAAAGAATTAAATCATTGAGAATCATAGAGTGATAAAAAAATTTTTCAAGTGGCTCTAATCAACTGCCATTTCCTGTTCCTTGTTTCGAGGTGTGTAACAGGTTGTGGTTCACCGAAGTTAAAGATCTTCTCAGGGCATCAAATCACCAAAATATTTCGTAAATAGTGGTTAACGAAGATTTTATGGTGTCGTAGGATGCTTTTAGTAAGATAAGTTAAATTTCGCAATTAAATTAAAAATAATACTTCAATATTAGTAACGAAATTGAAAAAAACATATAATAAGTTAAAATAATACAGATCGAATTAATAATGAAAAAGCCAAGATAATTTTGGCCTTTTGCATTAACATACTGATATTCATTTTCAATATGCCCTGGAATTTTTTGTTTAGCACGATTTTGTCTGTAATAATCACGAATTATTAAATATACAACTTGCAAATGCGGAAAACTGCGCATTTTAGAATTTGCTGATGAACATAACTCGTGAATATTAAACACTTATATGTTGAGGGATTACTGAATTTCCGAAAACAGCTTCTCCCAGAGATTTTATTCTCATGCGAAAAAATTTAGATCTTGTGATATAAATATTTTGTAGCTAATGAAAACGGTGAGGAAGCTATACTCACCTTACTCAGCAGACGTTTTTTTTTTGTTTACTTCGTTAAAAACGAATGAGATCACAATCATTAGAACTCGATTAATATAAAATGTATTTAAGGGAATTTGCTTTGCTTATGTTAACCTGTAATGTAACTTACCAATCGGTTCATGTTGTTCCTTGTTGAAGTTGTCCCAACGTCTGATGTCCGAGGAACCAATTTGACTTTATATATATCTGGGCTGGGTCCTGACCTTTTGCCGGCCTCCCCCTCTTGTTGACCATCCTCCACTTACATAAAGATGGTAATAATTATATAAAAGTCTTCCGTTTGCGAATCTTTGTAATTATATGAGCCAAAATGCAGTCAACTGTTTGAATAAATTAAGGAATAAAGACATTCGCTGTAAAGTTTTATTTGATGCAATAATTTAATAATAGTTTCTCCAAATTTGGTCATCTCATCGGTAGATTCTCTAAGCTCGAATTAATTAAAACACACTACTGATCTACCAGTTTACAAGAGAAAATTGATTATGAGATAAACTTGAGCTAAATAAACTGTTAAGAAAGTTCGTTTACATAGAAGTAATTTTTGTTTTATATTTTGTATTACAAAAGAAAAATAATATTGTAATTTGGTATTTGCCGTAGTATGTTTTCGGATGTGTGGGTAACATTTTAAACAAGTAAAAAAAAAAATATATCAAAATTTAGTTTCTTTTTTTTACACAATTCTATTTAACAAAATTATATATTCACATATAAATTAAATAATGGAAGGTTTTTATTTAAGTAAAAATAATTATGAGGGCGCCGCACGGTGGTTGAAAATCTATTTTTTTCGAGAAAAAAAACCTAGTAATACCGATCTGTAAGTAAAAAAAAAAAAAAAAAAAAATAGTTTTGATAAATAATCACAAATAAATTTTCTTTAAAATATGTACAGTATAACCCCGCTTAACCGACTCCTCGGATTAACCGGTGGTAAAAAAGAAAAACAGGGAAGAATTAATTTTTATTTCTCTCAGAATAGACTAATTTCAGGCAACAAAATTATTGAAACAAATGAGATAGTTGTTTTTTTAACAGCCAATCTTGACCTGTGAGCTTACATCAAGAGCAAGCTAATAAAGGGAAAATTAACAGAGTAACACGCAGCAAAAATCTTGCTATAGTGCGAAAGAAGAGATATTATGTATTTAACGTTTTTGAGAGCCTAGGCAGCAGCATTTCCAATTTTATTGTAATTGATGAAAACACTTAGGTTCGAATAAGCAAAAAAATAAATAATTAACAGACTATTAAACAGCAACCAATCGTTTATACGCTAAACTTAAATCATATATTCAAGAAAATGTACAATAAGCTGGTATAATCAATTTAAATGTATTTTATATACAACAATTTTGCAGACTTATGCAGAAACTTTTAATATTATTTTGTATCGGATAATACAAGGTAATATAATACAAGAAATTGTCAGTTTTTCTGTAAAACACTGGAATAACATGCTCAAATTGCATTTTAACCGATCAGGACTCGACTCTGACTATGACAGATAAGTGAAATACTATTGTGCTAAAAAAAAAAAAAAATTAAATAAACTGTTTATTAATTTTATAAATTAAATAATATCAGTATTATAATTTGGTGAAATGGAAATTTGAGATTGCTATTTTGGGCTACCAAACACCAAAAACTCATTCTATGAAAAAACATATTATTTTTTAACAACTAATTATTTTTAAAATTCGAATAATTTAAATATGTACTAACTTATATACTACATGATAAGAATACGATGGAGTTTCTCTTTTTTATCCGAAATAAATATAATCCGAAGAAACATGTTTATAATTCAATTATTGTTTCATTTTTGTATTTTTTAAACATCTAATTATATCTAAGGGAAAGATTTTAAATGAAATACAAAGATATAATCATTTATATATCATATTAAAAAATACGGCAGGGTTTTGGTTTTTAATGCGAATAAATAAAACCTAACCAATTTTTTTTTTTTTTTTAACAATTGATATTTTTAGGGCTTAATGGCTCATTTTAACGCATCAAAAAAGATACATTAATTTATAAAATAAATAACAATATACTTAAAATTATATACTTGTTTATTTTAGAGTCAATAATCTTTTCATTTCAAATAACGTTTGTTAAAAAATAAAGTAATAAGTTTAATTCAATTTACTAGATTAGATTACGATTAAATTACAGACGCAGGTGGACGCAACTGGATTTTCTTATTTAATATTTTTTACGGATTCTTGCAAAAGATTGTAAGCTTTCTGCGCGATGAAAAATGTCTGATTGCAATAAATTATGAAATCATACTAATAAATCATAACGAAACAATTACTTGTTATGCTTTCCTGTAAAACACTCAATGTTTTTGCACTAACAGTAGGGATATCCAGTTTCGCACTACGCACTTTCGCAGTACGCATTCCTTTTTTTTATTTTTAATCCCGAGTCATTAAATATGCAATCTGTATATGCGGAACTTTTTCGCATTTTAGTATTCACTGATGAACAAAACTTGCGGAAATCAAATCAGTATATGTTGAGAGATTAAGCCTCGAAAAATGCTTCTCCCAGGGATTTTATTCTCATACGAAAAATTTTATAACTTGTAATATAGATATTGTATAGCCAATGCAAACGGTGAGGAAGCTATACAGACCTTCGTTGGCAGCCTTTTTTTTCTATTTGTTTTGGTACTTTTTCAAAATAATATTGTGGACTTGAAAATGCGAAGAAGTAATTTTTTTTTTCTCACTGTGAATCGTTTAGAATGGCTGTTCATGATTATAAAAAGAAATCGTACCAAACATACAAAATGAGAGTGGAAAAAATTAAGAAAATGTCGAACAATTTTCGTTGTAAATCTAACATTATTTCATGGTCAAATTTAAAAGCCTCGTACAAGTTTAAAAGTCAATTTTTAGCCGATTTAATTAGTAAATAATCTTAGACAACTAATCTTTTTATTATTAAGGAAGAGTATTTCTCCAATATCTTAAAAAAATAGTTTGCCGCCTTTCAACCACTGTGCGCCGTGGTTGAAAATGCATTTTTTTCCCCCAAGAACAACCCTATCAATCCCCATCCGTCTGCCATGCAAAAATAATTCTATTTCTGACATGTTGGTAATTCTTCATTAGTTAATATTTATTTTAGTAAAAATTGTATTACATTGGTAATAATGAAAAATTTCAGATATAAATATATACTATATACATCCGTAATAGGTATACTGACGGTCAAGTATACCTGATACTATGTTATACAGACACTACTGGGTTTGTGATTTAAGTAGAACATTTTTTTTTTACCTATATTAATTTTTAAAAGCAATAATTATAAAATTGAAACCGTAATACAAACTATACTATATTATAAATTCTATTATAATATTTTTTAAATCAAATATTGGTAACTTAATGGCCAAAAATAATCCTTTCATTTCAAATAAGCACATCCTAAAAAATAATCAAACACTAAGGGTATTTCAACACACAATACAGACGTATGTGGATTCAGCTGGGATTCATTTTAATATTATATTAAGATAATATAAATATTTTAATGTTTGAGGCTATCTCCTTGTCTTAATTGGCCCTTGTGATCGCGAATGATTCTGGCAGTTCTCGTTGTATCTTGACACACCGATCGTATCATCAGCACCTATGTAAAACTGATCAATTGAAAGGGAATATTCATTGTTTCCATAGCCTCCCACAACTTCTTTCTAATGGCACTGACAATTGCACTGCTGAAATCTATGACTAGATGATGAGTGGTAATATTCCCTTGTTCTTTCAAACTGGATCATCAAAGCAAAGATCTGATCAGTGGTAGATCTCCCCCTCATGAAACCACAGTTAGTAGACACCTACCTTTCTTTCTGCATGCGAAAGTAGCCTCTTATATATGATCGATAAGTATTTATGTGTAATTCAGGAGAGTTAAAGTAATAACTGAAATTAGTTTCATCTCCATTTTTACTGGAGAAGGATGATGACGCTAGTGTGTGCCTTAGTTATCGACATGCTTTGGAGAAGGTCACGGATAAACTTAGGTTCATTGCTACCCCTCTTTAGTGACTCCGCGACTATGTTGACAGATCCTGATCCTCTCTTGTTCATCAGTTTTCGTCTGGTCGAAGCCATAAAATAGAAATTACACCTTCAACAGCGGAATCCTGGAAAATCTGGAATCTGGAAAACAACATTTTCGTAGAAAATCAAACTTTATTTCTTGATCGGATTTAAAATGCTCGCTACGAGTATAGAATCAAAATATCGCTGTATTGGTTAGTTGTCTTAAAGTAACTAATATATTTATCGAAGAAATAATTTTTCCAATACCTTAAAATATAGGCATTTTGCGCCTTTTAACCATTGTGCGCTGCGGAACTTAGGTATTTCTAGCAAAATGTATTTCTAGCAAAAAAACCAGGTTTATATATAATTTAATATAACATGGTACATATGAATAAAAAATATTTTTTTATAAACCAAACTCAACAGTTGGCGATGACGTTATTAAGTCATTCGATGAATTTTTCCTCTGTGGAATCATAACACGATGGAATGAGGGGTATTAAGGATTCTTCATTAACGGTTTATAAATATAATATTAACGGTAATAAAAATTTGGTTATTAAGGGTTTGTGTTCTTTTAAGGCAAACGATGAGTATTTGTATTGATATGCAAGATCTATATATATATATATATATATATATATATATATATTATATATATATATATATATATATATATATATATATATATATATATATATATTGGATAATTTGTTGTCATGAGTAAAATAAGTTGTTCCTTAATAAATTCTGAAATTCCCTATTTTTAAAGAATAATTTATTACTCAATAAATACTGGAATTTAGTTTTCTGTTGGAAAAGTATCTTGCGCCAACGATCACCAAGGTTTTACTGTTATCACAATTTTCTTTGAACGTTGTGTTAATATTAAATACAAAAATGAACTTCGGTAACCAGAATGCTTGGTAATTAGTAATTATCTGAAACATTCAGTCAACAAAAAGAAAAAAGGACTAGATGAAAATCTTATCTATGCATTGATCATTTAATACATAAAATAATATATTCCATTCTTCAATAGAAAACTGGAGGGAATAAATAGAAATAAATAAACTGAATGAAATTGCAAAGGAACAAATTCAAGAGGAATTCAAATAAATTTTATGAATCATTATTGATACCTGGATATTGCTTTCAGATGAAGTGTATTTTGTTTTATATTCATTTACCTGTGGGCTGATTTTGCTCTGCTTGTCTTATAACAGTTTTTGTTTTAGTCTATCCTGAATTATTATGTCATGCATATTTTGTAAAAAATATAAAATGAATGGCGTCTTAAATCTAGAAACATTGTATTGTTTTTGTTTGAAATAAGTCCTTATACTAACAGAGGCAGTCCCAACTCAGAGGAAATGATGGGCGAACACTTTGAGGCGGGGGTCTCTGAGTGACTGGATCTAGAAATTGTTGATTCAATTCCCACCCAAATCGGTTATTATTTATTTCTGTCGTCGCATACTGGCGCGAGCTAACGCTATCGTTGGACATTGGAAGACAAAATAAAAGTTAAAATTTGGAATTTCCCCACCATTACAGAAAAACTAGCACCTTTTCCACTTCGTTTCCGGCAATTTTTAACTTAAATAAAGCTCATTAATAATGTCCTGATGTAAGATAATAGAAGAAGGAATGAAAACCATCTTTATTGTATTTAGAGTTAGTTTGCCGGTATTTTTCATTCAATTAGGTACGTTTAGTGAATCTTAAGATAGCTAAAACATCGGGTTTTTATTAATAATGATAGTTTTTAATAATCGCAAGCAATTTAGGTCTAGCAAATCACCCGAAATCGCCCTAAAAACTAGATAGACGATATTGTTAACAAAGGTTTTATTGATATTTTAGTATAATATGTCCTTATGAAATAGGTAATAAATGATGAAACATCTTAACAATGTAATTTTTACAATACAAACTATGAATACAAGACATATTTCATTACATACAAGACATGAATTTTAGCTTCTTGTGTTTTATTTATTTCTCCTATTTCGGCCCTCTTCCAAGGCACTTCCATATATATATATATATATATATATATATATATATATATATATATATATATATATATATATATATATATATATATATATATATATATATATATATATATACATATATATAAGATAAAGACCGGAGACCGGCGATATCAGCCTTAATACCGTCCTGAATGTAAATAAACATATGAAATGTATATAAGGAGGATTACTAAAGGAATAAATCAGTATCTTTTCTGAAACCGTGAGTGTTGCATTTCAAGCCCTTTCCTTTCTTTTTTTTTATTGTTAGAGTCCGCCGACGCTTAACTGGTGCCGAAACCCGGGACTACGACAGGAGAACAGAGAAGTAATTTTTTTTTAAAAGTCATTTTTTTTCTCTTGGTTTTTTTTTTCTTCTCCTAGTCATAAGGAAAGAGTGAAATGCCAACAGAGGGCTTAATCAGGCCGGGAGTGTTGAGCGCCCCGGAAATCCCTCAACCTCAAGAAATTCCGCAGATACCTCAGATCGCGCAGGCCCCTCAGGTGCCTCAGATACCTCAGGTACCGCAGATTCCGCAGATCCAGGAGATCCCTCCCTTACCGAGGGACACATTGGCAGAAGCGCACGCTAACGCGCTGGAATGGATGAAAATAAGAGCGGCGACCACGCAGGACCTTCGAAGAGCCATTGCGGACCTGGAACGCTTCGGTGGCGAGGTAGGTGAGCTCAACCATTTCCTGAAAGGCGGAGACCGCCTCATGTCTAGAATAAAGGTAAAGGTGGCGGAGGACCTGGTAAACCTAGGGGACGCGGAAGCGTTGAAAGCGGCTCTGGTGTGCCGAGTAAGGAGGAGCATCCTGAACCAAATTCAGGCGGACGAGGAGACACCATGGCCGGTGATTAAGGAGCGACTGAAGAAGGCCTTCGGAGGAGGCAGATGGACGCCGGAGGAAGACATCTTCCAAATGTTTAGGGAGCGCCGGTCCCAACGTCAGACGAGGGGCCAGTATGCGGGGGTACTAGTGGCAAAGTACAACCGCATAACGGAGAAAATGCGCGAAACAATGAGTGTGGGAGAGGTGGAAGCCAGGATGGAGTTCCTCTCGACGATACTCAAGGTCCAGTTGGCGAAGGAAACGGGAAGGAGAGACGGATTGCCCAGGGAGAGATCATTCCTCGAGTGTGCCCAGGAAATGATCGACCTAAGCGCAAGGGAAGAAGAGACTCGGATGGACGTGGAAGAACCAGGGTGGATCCGGGTGAATGACAGACGACCCCGGACAGCCCCGATGGGTTGGAAGAGGAGAGAAACGGTACAGCCGAGCGGAGAAAAGGTCAGG